GGCCTTGGATTTTTTTTTTTTTTTTTTTTTTTTTTAAGGGGGAGGAAATGCTCAAAAATCAGGGCAGGAACACTGGTCAAGTGAGAGATTTCTTTCTTTTTTTAAATAAATTTTTGTCATGGTATCAGTTCAGAAATAGTGAGATTTTTTAGTCAGGTATCAAATTAAAGTAAAAATGTTGGTATCGTGACAACACTACGTTCAGCACGTTTGTTTTTTATTTATTTTTGGCCATGTTTGTGCCGCTCTTTTACTTGCATAATTCTTTTAGTGAATCGGACTCTATAACAGTGCAGACATTGTGGTACTGTCAGCGGGTGCATTTCATTTTCAGTGTTCATTTAAGTTGCACTAATATATGTTGCTTTTTTCAATGTTTCAGTGACCGTCTCCAAAGAGCGAAAGAAATTGTTGAGGAAAGAAGGCTAGAGATACTGAAGAATCTGGTCAACAGAACTATTGGTGAAATGGCCGCTGTTAGCACTGACGAGAATGCTGCAAAGGTGATTGCAGAGGGTTTCATCTAATCAGAAAAATAAATAGGGACAAAATCAAGTGCCATTTGTGTCTGCTGTTAAAAGCCTGTGAGAATATAGCTGTTATTTCTGTTGTCTTCTTTTGGTTCAGCGACTGGTCCTTTTTAGCTTCATTATAATCCTAAAACCTGATGGACCTAATTAAGTGGGTTTTAATAGTTAATGGCAGGATTGTATGACTGTAGATAGATTGATGTGTATAGATCGAGATGCATTTTATAGGTACAAGGGAAAAGTAGGGAATTCGACCATATCTGTATCAAGGCACACATTTAACACAATGACATTGAAAGATATAATCTTTTTTTTCCTGTTCCGTATACTTCTAGGAGGCTAAAATTGAGCATTTGGACAGCATGATCGAGGCAATGCGGGATGATCTAGCTAAGATAAAGGGAGATGCAGAGGCAGTACAGATTTGCCTGACAAATGTCCCTGAATCACCCAGAACAATCAGTGATTTGAGGACACAGCTGGAGGAGATGAGAGAGGAGCTTCTCAAAAGCCAACAACTTCTCAGTCTTAAAACTATAGGTGTGTTCAATTACCATGAAGGGAAAAACTCAGTGTTTTATGACATATGTCTAATTATATAATCTCCTTTCAGAGTTTGAAGCAATGTGTGTTCAAATGCAGGAATCAGATTACCAGCTTCTCCAAGCAAATAGAGTAATCTGAATTTAAGTTTTCTTTTAAACATCTAAGGTTATTGTCAGTAGATTGTTTACATGGGCTACCTGGCTTCTGTTGTGTTGATCTTTGTTTGTTTGTCTTTTTTAGAATTATGAAAACAAGAAACTTAGATGTCAGGAACTTATGTCAGTCTGTCAGGAGAAAAATGGCATGATCTCTACATTACAGACTGCTTTGGACCAAAATGTGGAGGCAGCTACTAAAGATGTAAGTTTATAATACACTACTGTGCAAAAGTAGTTTCACAAGTAGTTTTCAGCTTATGCTGACCAAGGCTTTATTTACGTGATCAAAAATACAGTACAACAGTAATATTATGGGGGGGTGTTCACGGGGGTGTGTTCACGGTGTGTGTGTGTCCACTGCTGTGTGTGTGCACTTAGGATGGGATAAATGCAGAGCACTAATTCCTAGAATGGGTAACTATACTTGGCCACATGTCACGTCACTAAACGTCACTAAATTATGAAATATTATTACAATTGTAGATAACTATGTTCTTTTTAATGTATTATAAAATGTAATGTACTCTTGTGATCGCTAAGCTGAATTTTCGGCAGCCGTTATTCCAGATTTCGATGTCACCTGATAGTTCAGAAATAATTTGAATATGCTGATTTGGTGCTCAAAGACATTATTATTCAGGGCTCGCAGAATTTCAAAAACCCTGGTATCTTCAGATTTTTGTATACCAAAATTAATTTAACTAGCCCAAATAAAAAATATAGTGGCTTAACTTCAGTGGTTTTATTTTTTTAAATAACAAGTCAAGATTGTAGGGGTGCAATGGATCACAAATCATATGGTTCGGATAATATTTTGTGTATCGAGTCACAGATCGGATAATTTTTTGGATGAACAAAAAAAATATTATTATTTAAAGAAAGTACTACTTCGATACCACAGCAAAAACTAGTAGCATAACTAATAAAGGGCAAACATGATTAAAGACAAGTGAACGGTCAGTAATAAAATAGATAAAATAAAACAAAGCTACAAATAAAGTAAGCTCTAACATTAGTTTTTAGGCACAGAAATATAATAATTAAGTGTGAAATAACACTGCTTAGTGTTCGCTGTATAAATTAAATATAGATGAATATTGTGGTGTGGGATTATGCATAATTCTACTGATTCCTGCAGTTTCAACGCTTGTAACATGGGAAATTCCCGCTAATATTTCAGCGTGAAAGACGCTTGGGACAGATGACGGAATGCATAATTTGCATGTGCTTTTGAGTCTTACAATTTTAAACATTCAAGCACTAGATTCAGTATTTGCGCGCTCTCTGCGAGAACCCTCACACCCAAAGCACGCCCACATAGTGCCGTATCTGAGAGCGCACGACTACAGAATGAAGTCGTGTTGCACTTTATTGTGTGTAAACGGCCAAATAGACCAATTTGGTGTTTGCAAACAGTGAAGATGTTTTTTTGTGGGCGGAGCCTATTTGGTGGCAGAAAATGAAAGTTTTAAAGTAGCAGTCTATTGAAACCATGGAATAAAAGAATAAAAAAGGTCATTTTGAGTTTATATTTTTTTCTCGCAATTCCGAGATTACTCGGAACTCGTCATTCTCTGTTTTCCCCTCGGTTCAGAATCCCACATTTATAATCCCACACGTCTGGCTTTTTTTTCCCCTCAGAATTGACAAACTTGCATTTGTTGAGTTTTTAAAAAAGTCGAAATTGTGAGATAAAATAGGTAAATGTTATAGATTTAAATAGTAGGCTATTTCATGCTGTAACTGCAGGGCTAATACAATATGTCCCCTATGAACTGCATATGTGAATATTATGTAGACCTATTATTTAAATCAAATATATGCTTTAAAAGTAGGGTAATCATAGACGGTTTCATCCATAGTCTGTCCATTTAAATGTCTGTGTTTAGCTTCAAATGGTGTCTTTGACGACAGTATTCTATAAAAAATTATTTGCATTCCGATTCTGACATCCAAAGGCACAACAATACGTAACTGTGACATCTACTCCAAATTGGTCTATACATACAAAATTATGTCAAAATCTTGATGAGTATTCACGTAATCAGTCGATTTAAACTAAACATTGTCAGTATATAGGCTATTAAGTGAATGTAAACAGTTGAGAAACAAAACTTACATGTAACAGTAAGATCCGTGCATGAGGTCTTAAAAGAGACGGCAACCTAAATAAACCTGCTGCTGTCTGTCATTAATGTTTATTTAAACATTGAAGACTAAATCAAGTTAAATAGATTATTCAGTTTATGTGGTATTTGTGTACCTGAATATTACTGTTATACCTACCTGACAAACTTAAAACAGAGTTAATTTTATTTGTATCTTGTTATTGTATTTGTTTGTGCTATTGCTTGTCATTTATCTATTCTTATTTATTACTGACTGTTTACTTGTCTTTTATAGTTAAAATAAATTCAATTCAGAGTATGAATTCAAAGTTCTTTTTAAGTATCTTCCTCACAATATAAATATGAATCAACAACATTATAAATTGTAAAACACAAATACACTGGGTGACGAAACACTTAGGTTGGATGACTTTAGTTTAAAACTTTGTCTCAAATTAAAAAATTCCCCATAAGAGCCACCTAAAGGTGTGGAATTTCTAAAGATTGTCAAATGGTCAAGTGCAAAGACCGCAAGTGTTGGTATTTGGACAAGGGGTCAGACTTGCACTCTCAGACACTTGTGCTTCCGCAAGTGACGTCACTTGTAGTCTTTATTTTTTATTTTGTTCTATTTTTGGATTTACATTTTTTTTTTTAATCTCTCAACATTTTACAACAGTAGCCAGGTGGTGAAGACAAGAAAAAAAGAAACTAAATTACAATGTCACTTGCAATCGCCACTTGCACTCTCCGCTACCTGCGACGTCACTTGCAATCCACACAAATCTTGCGTGTTGCCAATGGAGACAAGACGCTGTGGTGGTGATTAAACGATTACAACTAATTTAGTTCTATAACATACAGGGAAAAGACAAGACCCGCAAATCCGTGGCCACAGAACAGCAGAATATGAACGCATGCGCAAAGTCTCTCGTTAAGCGTTTTCCTCCTGTAGAAAAACATAAACACTTAATATGGCTTAATGTATTAAGATGCTATTAAAATATCAAATTCAATATACAGTTTATTAATATAATGAATATGTATATAGTATTTTCCACCCATACCGCAAAACGTGACATAATGGACTAAGATGATAAAGACCAAACTCAATGCTCTTCATTATTAAAATATAGCCTACATAACTAATATACAGGCAAGCAGGTGAGCCCAGAATAAGGCTCAAATTTTGTTGTATGCATTTGTCATTTTTATTTAATCTCTTTATTTTTAAAATGTGTATAGGTAGTATTTATAAAGGTTTAGCTTTTAGTTTTGGATCTGTTTTTAGTTGTTTTAATACTACAATTGATTGCTTCTGTTGTCCTTATTTGTAAGTCGCTTTGGATAAAAGCCTCTAATAAATGACTAAATAAATAAATAAAATAAATAATCGTTTAATCACCACCACAGCGTCTTGTCTCCATTGGCAACATGCACGATTTGTGTCGAATGCAAGTGACGTCGCAGGTATCGGAGAGTGCAAGTGGCGATTGCAAGTGACTTCGTAATTTAGTTT